CCACCCCCCCCCCCCCCTTGAAAAAATTTAAAGACGAATAAACATTGTAAAAATCATTTTAAATTTTAAAATGGATATTATTTAATTTGTATTTATAAGTAACTAGTAGTTATGTGAAATGTAATAATGATGATAGTTACCTATTTTTAAATAATACCATTTTTAAATGACACATACTTTAGTATGTGTAATTTTTTTCACCAGTCTTCTTTTGCATTTGATACCTATTAATTTATATTAATTCATGGGTTATTGTAGATTGTTTATATACATTTATGCATAATATTTATTTTTTTTTAAATTAACAAAAATATATTTTTTTAGTTTGATTATAAATTGTCAAAGCGAATCAATAGAATTTAAAATACATGTTTTAATACTCTAGACTGTCATTACTTTCTTCCGGGATACCTGCTTTAACAGCACATGTAAAAAAAAAAAAAAAAATTGAAGCAAATTAAATTGTGTGCGCGCGCCGTGTGGCGTCTGTAGGACTATGTCGTAGTATTAAAGATAAAAAAAAAACCTATTCATACACACACTCACATAATATATATAAGGCAATTATTCGTCGAGATTAGAGCATTTTTACATTAAGTGTGAAACGTGCGGACTTTTACTCGATTCGGTTCAACACTATATAATATACTATATTCTAAAATTATACTCGTATATTATTGTCAGTGCGATAAAATAATAATAATAAAAAAAACACTTCTTAAAACAGTAATAATAATAATTATAAACGTATATCGGTATACTAGGTATAATATTTTTGGGGAAAATAAATATTCGTCGGTCGACGCGATCATATAGCTCAATAGCAAAATAAAAAACTGTCCGATATCATTTTGATCCAGTTTGCACATCAACAACATCAACTACACGTATCATGTTTATTTTCGGCATGAATCCAAAAACACGTAACAATGGTTACCGGGTTATCGCGTGCACTGTGGTTTTGGGGTATCTCGTCTGCAGTCTGCCCGTCACTACGCAAACGCCCGTAAGAGGTAATAACGAAATTCAATCATAATATTTAAAACCTAAAGTCAAGTTTATCGTTATGTAAAACAATTGTAAAATACCGACTTTACGAGATGTATTATATTTTTGGTACCAGGGAGAAGGGCTGAAGTAAACTTTTGACATTTTTATATTTTATAATTTTATATAATGCAATTTTGTCACCACGTTTCAGTTTTGTCTAAATGGCGTGCAATTTTAACACACGTTACACTCATATAAAATATCCTAAGTCGTTACGAAGTACTATTTGTAAAAGAAATACGTACAATTTATATAAACATTAAGCTATTTAGAACACCTGAATTTCAGTTAAGCTTTTTAGAAATTTCGTAGTTTTTAAAATTATATTTGTTCGTGTTGAAAACTATACAAAATTGACCTGAGTCCTGTCCTTCTTTGTGACCAAAGTTTTATTTTTAAGGCATTTTTTTTAAAATAAAATATTCAGTCGCGTTAAATTTTTAACTTTGTTCTACTCACATCAAATGACGATTTTTTTTTAAATCGAAACAGGTCGTAATAATAACAATACCAAATACAATAATATTATACCAGTCTTGCCTAACTTTTTCCTAAGTATTTTTAAATTTTTTGAATTTTTTTACACGGTGTTTGTTTTTGAATTACTTTACTTTTCAGTTTGAAAAGAGGAATATGAGAACACCTGCATTATACTCTAACTCTAAAAAACTTTAATGGAATATAATTTGAAAGATCTAGTATACTTTACCTATATATCATAAAATGTATAATGTAAATATAATTTATAATTAGTATTGAACTTATATAATTCATGTTTAAATAATTTATAAATCTTTTTTCACATTTATTATTATCTTAATAATTATATGTTTTGGTCTTTAAAAAGAAACCTCCTCTTTTTGAATAAAAGAACGAATAGAAAATATTTTTCTAAAAATGTTGATATTATATATATATTGTTGTTTATTATATAATACAGATATAATCGTTTAAAATTTAGATCGGAGGAGTAGGTATGGGTTATAAATTGTTCATCTAAAAAGAATATTGAACCTACTCGTCCGGTGTAAACTTTAAAATGTGAAAACTTGCCTTAAATATTATTTGAATGTTGATATTCGAAATTTGTATTTTATAATAATTTATTTACTTCAATTATTATGTTATTATGCTTTAAAAAGAGAATATTATGAAATAATAATATGTTTAAAACCAAATATGTATTAAAAGGAGAATTATTGTGATTGCTATATGTAGCAATTTTAAGCATTTTTTTTTTTGCATTATGAAAGAAACGAGGAATACCTTAATTAGTATTACTATGATGTACGCTTGTTCTATTTTATTCTATCAACCAAAAATTTTGCTCCAGTCAAAAAATTGTGTTGCATATTTTATTTATTTGGTACATTGAGGAAATCAATTTTTATTTTCTAATCTGTTTCCACAGAATACTAATAATAATCTTTTTCGACATTTTCAAATTATTCTGTTGAACTTTTAGTTATTTATTTATTTTTTTATTTGAGTTTTTTTTTATTTTTAGTTTTATTTGGTTTTATGTAGGTAAAATAAACGTTTGTAAATTGTCCTCGAGACTCACTTTAAGTTGTAATTGATAGCAAACAAATAGTTGGCGCATGTAGTCATTTTTTTTATAAGCATTTTAAGTAAAAAATTTTAATGAAAATCATAAAACTTTCGTCATTTTAAAAACTATTTAACCGAATTTCGCTCAGAATAGTATTTAGTTAATATTTATTTATCTTTGTGTGTGGATACAAAGTGAATAATTTTATGTATCCTGCCATCTTAGCAATAACAGTGACACACTTATCAGCAATATTAGCACATTTTTTTTTTTAAATGTTTTGTTTAAAACTTTAATTTCAATTTAAACTCCACAATTTACGGATCGAAGTAACTCAATTTTACTAGGCTATTGTTGGCTAAATTAAGATAATAAATGTGCGGGAGTTCTCTTAAGGACATCACGTTTACGGTTTTAAATAATATTATAATACTCTAGTATAGCTAGGTAGCGGTTTAGGAATGCGATAAAATTTCATAATCGTAGCGATAAAGCACGAAATTGGTGACACCAAAAACGACCTCTAAAGATTCGTATCGCGTCCAGTGTTTTATTTTTGTGTACGATGTATAAATATAATAAAAAATTAGGAATTACGTTTTCTCTCGCACGCGTGAATATAATATATCGTACTAACTACGGATTATTATTTACAAGTTCCTTAAAAAATTAAAAACTCGTGAGAACTAAATGTTTTTTTTTTCTAAGTAATTAGAATTTATAAGTTTCAGACAAACGCCTGTTTATAGACTCTATGAGGTAATTCATGGAAAATATTATATATTATGTTTTCAACGATATTATAATGTATTGCTCTACAGGGTTCCTTTTTTTTTTTTTTTTTTTTTGAAAAATATAGATATTTTTTAACGCATCGCTATTTTTAATTAATCGTATAATAATACTGTACACTAATAAAAATAATTGTTCGTTATCTATTTTATAAATTCGCATAATACTATATGAATCCCACCATACGAGAACTATAGAATTCTCATAATTTTGTCATTGTATTCAGACTACATACCTGTATTATACTTGGCAATATTTCTTTTTTATTATCATTAGAATGTATGACGTGTAACCTTTTTTAAATTTACAAGCATTTATACTAGTGTTATCCACTATCTGCATTAAAGAAAAATTAAACATTTTAAAGAATAAATAAAATAATATTTATTTTGTGGTTTTATGAAATTTGAATCGTTAGTAAAGGTAAAATGTAAAATCGAAGCCAAAAAAAATTTTACCCCCGTGAAACCAGAAGACAACTCAGCAATTTTAAGTGGTAATAAATAGCTTCAAAATCGCTAGACTGCTTCGAAAATTATACTACGTATACAAAGTGCTTATATAAGTATTTTGTAAAAATGTCGTGTTTCTATACGATTATTTTTAACTGATCCACAATAAAATAAAAAAAAATTGGAAATTACCAAAACTTTTATTGCATACATTTTAAAAAAACTACAAAGAAAATATAAATTACTATCTTTCCAAATCTTCAATGAAGATCAACTAGATAAAATGTGTTACCACAAGCCATCCCTAAAGTTGATGATCGGAGCAAAATTTCTGGTAGAAAATTTATTAACAAACAGAAAAAAATACACACATAGAAAAACCATCGTTACACTTTATGTATCTAAAAAATAAAAAAAAAGTTAGGTTTTATTAAAACAATATGTCCGTTTGTTTTTCCAATATATTTTGATAAATTTACAAAAAAATGAAATACGCTCCGAATCTAAAAAAATTATATATTTGTTTTATAATATTATTATAAATGTCTTCTTTTTTACTAAAGCCTTAGCCTTGTAGCGAAAATCGACTTTCACTCTTTTCTTTTTAATGCTAGAGTCTTCATATATAATGGCCATATGCCCGTTGCATATGGACATTTATATCATCTTTCCTGTATGAATGTTTTCTTCAGTATTTCTCTTTCTTTTCATTCATTGATCTTCTTTGCATTATTTCGATTAGGAAAGGGTTTCGCCAAAACGTTTATGATGACCAAAGGATAATAGAAGAAATTTGTTAAAAAAAATTAAAATAATAATAGTAATAACGTGACAAAATAATTTAATTTTAGAACGTCACAATTTTTATAGCAAGACCTACCTACGATATATATATATATAATACAACGGCAATAATTCGTATATATAAAAACTGTTGAAAATAACTAAAATCATGTATAGAAGGTACACTAAGTATTAGTAGAATATTATAATTAACGAGCGTTCGCACATTTCGGGTATTTGTTTTAATCTAACGTAACCATGACCTAACCTAACTTGCAGAATGTTATAATAAAAAATAAAATGCATTTACTCTTTTTTTTTTTCATTCAAGATCATAAAACGTTTATTGATATTATACATACGATAAGATATAATTTTGTTAATAGCTTATATTATTAATAAATTGCGTACAAGTACATATAGATATCATTATTATAGAGATTGCACCTAAGTACATATACTATTATGTATTTTACTGACCTAAGCTAATCTAATATAATCGAATCTAGATTCGTATGCAATTACATACATTTAATATGTTTTAAATAGGTTGTTCAATAATGACGTGCTAAAGAAAAAGTCAATATACGTTTTATATTTTCTATCAGGATATTAGTTTAGTGAATCCACTGGGTGTCCACAATCCCTTTCTTTAAAAAAAAAAGCTCAAAAGCATACAAACCATAAATATTTCCCTGAATTAACGGACATTACCCAGTAACTTCTTCGCTTATTAGTGAAGGGATTTTTTCTATAAAATATAATATTTTGTTACACGATCTACGAATTCAATCATTTGCCATTTATTTTATAGTCGACGTACAGTAAGCAAAATATTTTACTCTATTGTAGAGTGTCTAATGGTCTAAACAAAGCCAATATTTGTATAGAAAAATAAATAAATTTATAAAAGGTAAAATATACGAGTAGGTAAATATTACCCATATTAGTTATAACACATAAACATTAAAATGTCTTATTATCTATTTTTATGATTATATTATGCAATCCTTCTTCTGTGGAATTTACTTACGGTTTTTTTAAAAACTTTTTTGGTAAAATACACACGATAATAGTACCTATATAGTATTATAATACGTTTTTAATATTGTATTATAAAATACACAGATATAGTATATTAAAACATTATCGTAAAGTTTGTAATTTTTTTTATCAAGATTATTATTAGACCGTTCCCGTCATCATGTTGGCTGTTTTCACGTATGGCCGGTTAAAATTCATTCGCATTTGAGTTTAGGGATACGATAAAAAAAAAAAAAAACCGTTCAAATACTCTGTACAAATTACAGACCAATTATTATTAGTTTGTTGCATTCGCTTTTGTATACCTACCATCTCGTGAGGATATTATTAAATATGATATGATAATTTTTGTACTATACGTTTTTTTTTTTATTTTTATCAAAATATTTTAAATTAATGGTACTAATCTATATAACATAATAGGTACGTGGTGTGGTGAACCCGTGCAATCCGTCCCTTATATAAATATGACAGCCACAATATAGGCTGGGTGTTAACATTATGGGTCAAAAAGTCAAATTAATTTTAACTTTGCCTTTAACTTTTGATTTGTTTTTGACTTAATTTAGTTTTTACATTAACTTATGATAAACAACAAGTTTATTCTAAAATTTACATAGCGTTCATTAATGTTAATTTTTTTTAATTAGAACACGAAATCAAATTTACAATCTATACATTATACTACGATATCACTAGGTATCGTCTTATACATAATATATTATATATATTTTTCACTCTATATAGTATGTGTTCCGAGTTAAAAATAAGTAAAATTTGATACACCCGGAATGAAGTGCGTTTTAATATTTTCCAGTTGGGGGCATGTCCCTGTTTTACTCCTCTCCCCGTAGGTCCCATGGGAGGCATGTTGGTATCCTTGCCTTGGTCGTCGTGGATATACAGGCATGCTTAAATTTGTGAAAAAAAATGTTAAGTATTTTTTAATTTTCCACAAGAAGGCATCAGAGAATTTCTAACCAATTTTTTTTTAAAATTATTAAATTATCAAATCAAAATAATTAATTAGTGTTACTTTTTAAGCGTGTCATAAAAAATACGCTGTGTTTCTTCTAGCACTAGGCGTCAAATATCCTAGATCAGAACTGTTCAAACGAACAAATAATAAACAATATTATTGGTCACAGTTCTAACAGCTCGGAAATTTATTATTATTATCATTCAAAAAAAATATTTCTTATTTCTGCGTATATTATGAATGTGAAATAATAATAAACCAATATAAATCGAAGTACCGAAATAGCATAAGCTCCCAACGAGTTGAACAACTCGTATTCTTTATAATATACATGTACACTGTTGTTTAATTTAACCACTTATATGATTTAACAGCCTTCCAGCATTTTTTTTTTCATTACATCGATTGGACTAAAATTCAATGCGGATCATTTTCATAGTAAAAACCGCATTCTAATTTTGCAACCATTTGTGAGATAAAACGCTCACGGACGGACTGATTATAAAGTAGTATACGTCACTTAATAATCTTTTAGGTTCTCGCCGACGCGTCGTCTTCAAAATATAACCGAAATAGTTTTATAAAATCTGGTACTTAAATGGCTACATATTATTATTAATAATTATAATATCATATACGATTCGATTGAATTCATACCGCCTAATACGCGCATGATGTGCACGCGCGCTCCAATTGCGTGTGGCACAGTTTTATTGTGGTCGGACAATTTTGCCGAATACAAACGGAAATCGTTGTGATAAAACACAACGCGGTAATATCATGCCATTCGATTTGATTGGTAAATTGTTATATTATTGGTCATCGAATATACAGAGTGAAATATCTATCATAAGACACTCGTTATGTCGGAACTTTTTCCGAAATTTGTTCTCTAGAATATTTATGAAATAAGCTGCTCTATAATTTTATATTTATGTTATTTTTTGTCACCCTTTTGTTGGAGGGGGGGGGGGGTAAAGCTACTTCCTACTTTTGATTTTCAAATGGCAACCTATACTGAAAATTCAATAAATAGACGAAGTATTAGTTAAAATAAGCTTTGGTGTTGAAATTTTTAATTTCCATCAATTCGTTGACGAGATATCCCACTTTTAAGTTTGGGTCGGGGGAAAATAATGGTGCATTATTAACACGCTGTTCGCTGCACCACCATACAAATAATACCTCATTACTTTCCTCTAACCCAAACTTAAAAGTGGAATGTCTCGTCAAAGGGCTAATAGAAATCAAAAATGTCAACACTAAAATTTCTTTTAAATAATACTCCTTCTATTTATGGAATTTTAATATAGGTTGCCATTTGAAAATCAATAGTAGGTTTTACCCCTAAAAATAAGGGTAACAAAAGATAACATAAATATACGATTGCAGAGCAGCTTGTTCCTTAGATGTTCTAGAAAATAAATTCCGGAAAAAGTTAATACTTTCTGAGATAATGAGTGTCTTATGATAGATTGATCACTCAGTATTACTACGAGTACCTATTTTTGCAATCATATATAATATTATTACATTAAAGAGGACACGTGATACTTCCTATATTAATGGCCTATATTAAAGGGATCGTGTATACAAGCAGTTTTTTGAAATTTTGGAAAAATACAATTTTATCAACTCAAAATGAATCTTAAAGCTCTGGGGGTAAAAAAATGAAAACAAAATTGTTCAAGATCTAGAAAGATGGAGTGATTAAGTAATTGTGGTAAAAATTCGAATAGAGTTAAGCATGCTAATGAAGAAGAATAACAATATTTATTACACTCGTATATGACTTTAAAATTAAAATATCGAAAAACCGACGTAGTTACAATCACAAATGGTCTAACATTCAAATGAGATAATAGGTCAATTTACTCTTGTTTTAAAAATAAAAATCGCCAATTTTTCTCAACTATTATTTATATAGAGGTAGACTGATGAAGACGTCGATTTTTGTTCAAAACAAAATCCATAAATACTTACAAAATAAATCGAATATATTGGACCCAATAGTTTATTGCCATATACTGTTGCCACGGATTATTGTTTGTTGTAGAGAAAATATTAGAATACATAATATTATAATTCCCGTTACTCCAGTGTATTTGAATTTCGGTTATTATTATAGTATTAAGTCGATAATCCGTTAGTCAAATAGAAGATTAGGTAATATATTATTTCGCGAGTATCAACGCTTATAGGTATCCGACAGAATTATTTTACTGAAAATTAAAACTAAACACTATAATATGTATATAGGTCACTGTTTGAAATCGGTAACCCGCGTTATTTAAATCGAACCCGATCGTTAATAATAGTTTACTAGGTACCGAAATTTCACCACGAAACCTTATTTTTGAGATTCGAAACCTATACCAGCATAGTGTAAAGTATCCTGGATAGGACTTTTGGAGGTACTGACTTTTAATACTCAAATCATTTTCATGCTCAAAAATCAAATAATGTCAAAATTGAAACTCTGGAAAGTATAACTATTTTAGATCAATTGAGGGACCAAAAACAAAAAAAAACTCTGTTGCTCACGGATTATTTTTTGTTTAATAATAAATTTATTACATTTATGAGCACTTTTAACTGTTTTACTTTCGAAAAAATTTCCGGGGTGGTAGCGTGTGGGGTGATTCTCCCAGTATGATCTTGTACTACAGATTTCCGTAAACTGTGGAATTGGAAATTAAATGATAAAAAATGAATATGTTTGTTCACATAAAAGTTTCGATCCTCAAAAAAAAAAAAAAAATTTCAAGACGAAATAGACCACTTGTTAATTTTATAGTTAGTGATTTTTAATTTATAATATTATTATTATGACGTCAATTCGTAGTATATAATATTGTTATATAATTCGCAGTTGCAGCCGCAGTATAAATAAGTTGGTCGCGTGTAACGTTTGTCGTAGGTAATAAAATTGGTCACGTGTAAAATGTATTCGGCAGCGTTTAAAAAGAATTTTAGTGGATATTATATATATGCGTATTATTAAACGCCTGTAGTCGATAGTGTTTGTTCGTGTCACAAATTAATGCAAATAAAAGATAAGACAAAAGTGGTCAAATATAATACTCAAACATTAGCATAAATTACTAATTATCAATGCTGGGTATTGGCGAATTACAAAGTTGTGAAATCTATAAGTTAAACATTAAAATACTTGAATTCAAACATTTGATTAATTTCCTATATCTGACCATTTCTAAATACTCAAGAGAAGTCATTGCGACGGAGGAAAAAAACAAATTGCTGATACTGGGGACGGATGTACCACTGTTGTAAATTTGAAGTTAGAAAGGTAGGACACCTATATAAAGTTATAATTAAGATTATATATACGATAAACCAATGCTAATAAAAGACAATTTGGAGCAAGTTCGGTTACACATGTTTTGAAAAGCTGTAATATTTACGATTTTCGTCAAATAATAATAATAACTTTCGATATTAACTCTTATAAAAATAGAAAAAAAAATATTAAATTGCATTATTTTTGTTTTTTTTTTTATTTGAAATAATTATCCTATTAAATGTTTGTTTGGTTTGGTTTTTGCTTTGTCAAATAATTTTATCCATAGAGTACCTAATGAATAAAAATTGCATTAATTAAAAAGTCTATTAATAGCTCAAATATTAAAAAAAAAAATAAAATTTTCAGAAAAGTTAAACATAAGTTCTTTGTTAAAATTTCAAGTCTTTACGAATATTTTTTATTGAATTACGACAAAAAAAAAACAAAATTTAAAATAATAGAACTATTATTTGAGTAAACTACCTCGTTTTTTTTCTTTCTACGTTTAATATCAGTTTTGCACAATTATTAAAAAAAAAACTACTTGGAAAATCAGAAGACAAGTTGCTTACTCATCAACTATGTTAAAAATGCAAAAAAAGATATCTTTTGTTGTTTTTCTATTGGAATAATATTTCTGTTAGAAAACATAAACCGTATACATTTAAAATAAAGAAATCATACGCTCCGAATCTGAAAAATCACATAAGGAGTTGGACACACTGGATGCTTATAATGGTGGCGTGTAAATTAGTTATCTTATTTTATCAATATTATATGGGGATCTAAATGGTCATTCGCCCCTCCGCGCATAAGATTGATGTGCATAGTTCTCTGAACAAAAATTTAAAATTTCATATTGTTTTTCTTAAGTCAAATTGGACATCGTTACTGTACGCGTGAACAATTATTATTGACTTTGAAAGGTCAAAGTTATTTTCTTGATACAATATCAAATGTATATAGTTATTCGCGTAATGCGTTTTGTCACGCATCATTTCAATATAAATAATACTCGTAGTATATTTTATTTGTTATCGTTTTTCTATAAAAATATTAACGACCGCCGTATTATTAAACTGATTGAATATAATATGCTACGTATTAGTGTACAACAATCTTTTATTGTCTGGTCTATATAATATCCGGCCATCTTGCTATCGCAATATAATAAACCAGTCGATTTATTTGTAGGTTTTCTCGGTTTTTATATTTTCATCAAATTAGAACCGTAAGCACGTCGTATACCTACACTGTATAGGAGTTTAATACAAATTAATCGGTTTCCCATTCCCCGCGATCGATTTCGCAAAGCTCAAAACAACGAACAAATGTAATATTATATATATATACACACACACACACACACACACACATACATGCACATAATATATTATCAACAAACTCGTGCGTGTTCTGTAGGTACAATAAGTATCTTGCAATCCATTATTGCAATTAATTGATTATCCTCTCGCTTAGAAGTCGTACAGTGTACACCCGATATAGAAATACTTATACCGGAGCACCGATAAAATTGCATGTGTGGGTCTCGTAACACGTTTACAGGCTATATACAGTTTAATATAATTCAGTTTCATTTCGAATGGTTATAGTGATCAGTCGAAACGAAAACTTTGAACACATCAGATTATGCGCAATAATAATAATAATATTAATAATAATTACGATATATATATATTAATCCTTTATGTTCAGTCAGTGATTACACACGCTTAGTTTTTATTTAATATATAGTTGAGATTATGAGTGAACAAGAAATCTACACGACTTACACACACTGAATATCGGATAAAAATAAAATATTCCAAAAGATGGGCCGGCGAAATGTTTGCCGAACGATTTTTATGTTATTTTTTTCTTAAAAATGATATAGAAAAACTGGAAAAAATTGTTTATAATGCATATTCTTTTTGTTTTATGATGCAAATTTGGTTGCTTAACTATGTCTGAATAATTTTTGCCAAAAAGAAATGGTTATTCGTAAAGGTTTTTGCAAATGCAATTGAATGCCTTTTAGTTAATAGAATTTAATTTCTCCACAAATTTCCTACGTCTTTGATCTTAAATAAAACTACAACACTATAAGAAAAAGTTACCTCGCCAATGCACTAACTAGATAAAATTTGATTTTAAACAAGACAGAAAACATTAAAAAAAAAAAAAAAAACATATTGTACTACTAAAACGCGATATATTAATGTTGGTATACTGTATAGGTATAGGTATTTACACACCGATGCGTTTATATCTACGATAATATAATACGACAGAGTTAGGAAAACTTTTTCCGGTACGCCTAAATATAGTTGAAATAATAATAATACAATACAATACTTACACATCCGTTCGGCTGTTGTAATTCAATTTCCGGTATAAACGCGCCACGAACTTTTGTAATTGATTCGTTTGGACCGCGAAACGAAACTTTAGCGGAGGCGCTATATAGTGATGGTGTAGATAACAAAAAATATAAAATAAATAAAAACGCAGAAAAAAAAAAACGATTATTATTTTACCATTGCGATATCATAGTATAACGAAAAATTGTTAGTGGAAGTGGTGGGGGGGAGGGATACAATAATAACAAAGAAAATCACATCCCGACCGATTGAGACCGAGCGCTCGCAATAGCTGATGATATAATAATATTATTATAAAAACCATAAATGTGCGCCCGCGATACATCCCGTCGGAATTCCGGCCCCGAAGCTCTCTCGCGATTTATTCGAATCATTCGTTTATATTATACAAATGCATTATATTTTTCGTTCGCCATCGAAGGCCATGATCGCTTATAGCGAATTTCCTATGTATCAACTTAACCTACACTCTATACAGAGTGGTTTTAGATTCGGAGCGTAGCGTGCGATCTATTGATTTTACTATGATGGTTTTTTTTTTTTTTTATATATATATTGTGTCTGTTAGCAACTTATATCTAGATTGTGAGTAAGAAATTCGTTTTTTGATTTCCCTTGTAGATTTTTTTTTTTTTTTAAATAATTGAGCAAAACCGAAAAAAACGTAGAAAAACCGGGACAAATTTACGAAAAGTATGCTTTATTATTTTAAATATTGATTTTTGTTGTAATTAAGTTAAAAATATTCGTTAAGAATTGAAATTTTGACAAAACACTTATATTTGGTTTTTTAGGTGTGTTAAAACTTTAACAATATTTGAGCCATTTTTAAGCTATTCATAGACATTTTAACTTTGCTAGATTTTAGGTAATTTTTATTTTGCACGTACTCTGTAGATATATTGTTGGATTAAACAGAAATGCTTGAAAATTTAATAGGAAGTTATATATCATAAGTCTCATTTAATGGTCAAATAAAAAAATTGATTGTAATGTATGGTTTTTTTTATAAAAGTTTTATTATAAAATGTTGACGAAAATCTATATTATGGCCTTTGAAAACATGTTTAACCGAACTTCGCTCACTTTTTCATTAGCAATAGATTACCGTTACTAACGGATATATATTGTATAACTTTATGTATCCTACCTTCTCAACTTCCCACTTACAATAGAGGCACACACGTCCCCAATATCAGTACATTTAGACTTCTATACATAAGTTTACCCCGTCATATCCGTCCGTCCATGCAGTTACTTATAGGTACATAGTTACGTATTCGTAACATTATTATTATTATCAATTTTAAATATTAGTAAGATCATCATTACCATTATACATATTATACTGTTGTCATTAAGTATTTGAGGAAAACAACACACAAAATTTGTTACCAAATTATCAGTACTTAAAGAATATTAAACATTTTCTGTCAACTGTTTACAAATTAAGACTTTTAATTTGTTTAGGTTTCCACGCATAAGCATGATACCAAAACATAAATTCGTTATAAAATTAGTTTTTTTTTTTTTTAAATTTAAATCATTCAATTATTCAAAAATCAATTCAATGAACTCAATCAAATTAATGTTTTATTCGTTGACTTTCATAACCTTCCCTTATACATAATAACTAGCTGACCCAGGCACCCGGCAATGGTTTGTTAGATAATAGTGTAAATAATAATATTAGTTTTCTTGCCCATGACCGTCAAATTGTCATCCATGTCGTCACTAAGATAACCTACGAATAAACAAAAATAAATAAAAAAAAACAATTAGATATTCGTACCAAAAACACCTAAAACCTCAATTTTACCCCCTTAGGGAATGAGTTTTTAAAAATCGTTTCCTATCCTACGTTATAATAGCTATTTGTATGCCAAATTTCAGCCCAATCTGTCCAGTGGTTTGAACTAGGCGATGATGAATCAGTCAGTCAGGACAAGTTATTTTATATATTACATTCAAAAATATGAACGATACGATTTTCTATAGATTTAAAAGAATATAATAAGAGGAAACGCTAACATTATACTTTACGTGTGTGTGACCAATTAACCGCAATTTCAATGAGAATATTATTACGTTGACCGAACAGTTTTTGATATTTAGGAGGTTATTTTATAATATAGTACATAATAACCTCCTGACTACCAAAATTAAATATAATATATACCCATGTCAGGGAGTTATCGACCTTTTGCCCATAACGATTATTTTATATACTGTAATATGAGGTGCGTTTCTAGCCCATTAACCATATGTGTATAGATCGCGACCAAATTTATTAGATTTTGATAACGCTTATTAACGCAATTCAACATATAATAATACGAATATTTGTAATATTCTACACGGGGGAGTTGATGTATATAATTTTTTTTTAATAAACGCTGCCTAGTAATATTGCACAGTTATACATATAGGAAAAGTAGAAAAAATTTTATTTTTCTTTTCATTTTAAAATTGAATTTTTCACTGGAGTAACGTGCACATTTATTTCCCGATACGATTATTTATAAAACTTAATTTCTATATATTAAAGACACACACGAATTACAAGCAGGTGGATTAACATTTAAGTCACAACATTTGGCTATAGGCATATAATATATTTTGTTTTCTCTGTCCGTTTGGAGCCTAATATAGTAATCAAGACACTTCTACAGTTGTGATTTTATGGTTGAGTTTTGGGCAAAGGGGCTTATTATACATTTCATTAAAAAAATGGTATTTACTAAGAATTTTTCAAAAATTTATTTTTGTACTTTCATTTCTTAATAATTTAATAATAATTAAAATAGAGTTAAATTAAAAAAAGCATAACATCTTGATGAAAAAATTATCATTTAAAGAATCTATTAGAAAACATATTCTTTATGAATAAAAACAAGTTTCTTTGCCCTAAATTCAACCAGATAGTCGCAATCGTGGAAGTGCGGAATATCTTTGCTGCTATATTATCTACTCACGAGACAGAAAAAGCAAATGTCTCGTTGCTCCATATTTGTTTATAATATTATTTTACGTTTACATTCACTTTTATAATATTATTTGTATAAACGCTATGACGTATAATGTTTAGTGAATTATAATATTGATTTTTTTATTGTTTGGTTAGTCTTCACAACCAATTGTATGAAATTAAATTATAGATGCTACACAGTCAATGATGCAGATTACCTGAATGCAAATTTTAGATATATTTAAAAAAAATAACGGACATACTTCATAGTTCACACGATGGGTCATTGTTGTATATGAGTAGTTAAGAAAGTAGACGGAAAATTAAATATTTATCTGTACGCAAAAATTAATCATTGCTAACGAAAAACGATTCTGAGCGGAATTCAGTTATATGTGCTTTGAAAAAATTACGTTTTAAAAATAATACATATCGTAAATTATCTCGTTTTTCCTTCGTTTTTTTCCATTTCTTATGAAAATCCCTTGGAAAATCAAATAATCGTATCCTTAAAATACCATTCTAGTTAAATTTTCTTTCAGAAAAGATGCTTGATGGTAAAAAAGTTGTTCACAGAAAAAAAAATAAAAATCATCATTGTAAAACCAATTCACTCCTCGCTCCGCTCAGAATCTAATAAAAACGACATTATTTATAAAAAAATTATTACAACGTATGTATAAATATTATACATTTAATGCAATTGAGAAGCGGCTAACTCTTTCAAATCGTATATTAATTATTTATATCATTCGTGCAACTAAGGGAGGTTTTGGTGTACTTACCCACCCAATTTTGTAAGTAGCTCATCCAGGTTTTTTTAATATTTGTAAATCGTATGCAGTTTATGAAAACTAATGATAAACGGGTTGAATGTGAGTAATAATTATACTATTTTGGAGGAAAAATCATTGTGATCATTCTAAATATAAAGTTTACTTTATTTAGTTACCATTTAATCATTATTCAATAACAAATTAGTTATAATTTAATAATGATATAATATTATTAAATGATTAATAAAATAGTTTACTCTGTAAAGTATGTTTTCGGGCGAAAAACAGGTTTCACGCAATTCCCTTAATCTCTTTTCTTCCTACTGTATCATTGCCCACACTCCACATGCATATTACAGTGCAGCACCTATATATATATATATATATATACATTTTTTTTTTGTGTCTTATAATTTAAAAACGGAAAAAATGAACTGTAGCCGTAGTCTGAACCGAAATGTTATTTTATTGTTAACAATTTTAAATTTGCAGGTGTATGTTTTTTGCCGCCGGATGAGGGCAATTGCTTAAACCGTCTGAGTATGCGAGTGAAATTCTACTTTAACTACGAGTTAGACGAGTGCTCCGAATTCATATTTTTCGGCTGTGGCGGCAATGAGAATCGTTTCGACACGTTTGATGAATGCGAAAACGTGTGTTTATACAATTACTACAATTGACGAACATGGAATCGTTCACGCGGTTGCCGCAAGATCGTCAAAACGGGTAACCATCACCGGATGTATAATGGGTACAAAATATAAGTGGATGTATTTTTTTTTTTTTTTTTGTATCGCGTTTTGACAAGATTATATAAAACAATCGATAATATATTATATCATGTACTTTTTATATTTGTTTCCTAAATGTTTAACGATAATATTATGTCTAAAATGTGATAATTCGGTAGAAAGTTCTCGTATATAATTAGGTATTTGTATTTTTACACTAAAATATTGATCTCCGTAAGAATTTTTTTTTTTTTGCGGGCTTGTGTCCGTTTATGATATGATGGTTGCCTGCCATTAATCTTGTCCGATAAATAAATAAAATATATATTATTATTATTATTATTATTATTTAATTTATCGTTAGATTTGGTGAGCGTCAGTTGCAAAAATAAATTGACGGCACTTTCCTCTATCCCTGACCTATATGATGTCCGTGAAGAATACTGAGTGAGAAAGATAGTGATAGTTAGAGGTAATCATGGATAAAATACTTCTTTGAGGATATTTTTACTATGCTGTGGAATTGATTATAGCAAGTAATCATATCAAGCTTCTAGATGGATAAGTAATGAAATGTTCATGGTGTAAATAAAAACATTTCATGAAATCTCCGGTGACTGTCCGCTTCTAGAACTATCTCTCTCATTTAACATCGTAGTGACACCGTATAAAGTCCTGGGTTTGGGCTCCTTACGCATCAAGTGAAATTGTGAGAGTTTGGTGTGCCCAATGCGTACTCGGGTAATTATGATCTCCTCGTGACGTGTTAGTTTAATTAGTGGATCTGACCATTTTTTTGTTGTGAGTTTTATTTGCTTAAATTTATTGTTTTGATTAGTTTGTGTATCCCATATTTTTTGCCATAGAGAGTATTTTGATTTTTGATACATTTGATTTTTAGGGCATGGTTCACATCCTTGTATGTTACATGTGAATATAATTTGGTGTCCGGAGATCTCGCTGCTTCCATTGACAATTTGTCGGCACGTTCATTACCTGGAATGCTGATGTGTGATGGGACTCACATGAGTTTGATTGTTTTGGGGTTTGTGAGGATAGTATTTTGGATGTTTAGGGCGAGGTTACATTTTGTATGTATGTTAAATATGGAGGTGATTGCACTAAGAGAGTCACTTAATATGAGGACTTTGTCATGGTTAGTAGAGAGTGAGATGGTTATAGCTTCTAGTATGGCAAAGGTTTCTGCAGAGTATATACTGGAGAAAGGGGCGATTTTATAGAGATTGTTGTCTTCAGAGTGAGTGATGGCGAAGCCGATATCATTTGCTGTTTTAGAAGCATCTGTGTAGTAGTGAATGTAATTATTGAATTCATTGTTTATTTTTTCGTTGAAAGTATTAGTTATCAGATTATAGGGTGTATCTTTTTTGTTAAATATGGTAAGTTCTTTGTTGGCTTCAATCTGCTTCATGTTCCACGGAGGGGATACTGAGATGGTTTCTATGGGTTTTGTGTTATAGATCCTGAAAGATATTTCTACTACTACAAACGTTTTTATTAAGTATTTTCAAGGTTAACCCAACCAGGAGTGACACATTTAATTATGTAACAAAAACGACTAAAAAAAAGAAAGTGATCTAACCATCCACATCTTTCAGTGGATGGGAGAGTGTTTAATCAGATCGATGTGTACGAAACACGCGCCAAAATTAAAACTAATTTTTTTACCTATACTTGACAAACTATACAATTTGTCTATTTAAATCATCAGCTATTTTACAAAGAAAAAAAAAGCAAAGGAATAAAAGTATTTTTAACACTATTAATTCTTATATCCAAAATAATGCAAAATGATAGGAATACAATATTGGCGATTATGGTCTACGGGAAACCTTAAATTATGGTGATAACAAATTACCAACACCAGGTGCGTGTACAAGGTGGTGGGGGTTAGGGGTTCAACCACCCCCCCCCCCTTGAAATTGCATGACTATTATGATAAAAGTAGATNATTTATAATTTTTTGTGGTTTTTCTGCTTTCAGAAAGTTATAACTGATACGGCGATATTGCATACTCCACATTATCATCACAATAATATCAATTACGTTATCATTTAGGCTGTATTCACTAAAAAAATATTGAGTGTAAAATGAAGTAATAATTATTTAAAAGGCTAAAAATGAATGTTATATTGACATTTTTAACGAAAAATAAATAATCGTACAATCGAAAATATGTAAACTTCTTTATTATAAAAGTATGAAAGTGTACAAAATTGACCCCCCCCGATTTAGTGATTTTTTGTAGTTTTTGATTGCTGTTTCACAAGTTTCGTTCCACCAGGGAACTTTTTTTTTTTGAAAGGAAGATTGGCTTTTACCAATTGTGGATTCGGCGGCTTCGGTAATAATGTTTGAGAATGTTTCAACAATATTATCTATATCTGTTGGAAGATTTGTTTGGAGAAGGGTATCGAATTGTTTGGTTATTAATAGGTTGTCGATGGTGTTAGAGAAAGCGGACCAGTTTGGGTTTCGTAGGAGCTATTTGGGAGTTGATTTTTCTGTTGGTTGGGATTTGAGTAGTTTTAAGGTAATCGGCCAGTGATCATTGCTATTGTATGAAGTTTGAACTGACCATTCTATTGATCCTCCTAATGATGCGGATGCAATTGATAAATCGATGGCGGAGAAGCTGTTGTTAAAAATATAAAAAATATTATCCTGTAACAAAAGTAATAAAGAAAATATCGAGATCAAATTTTTGTACAAAATATTATGAAGAATATCTATTTTACATAGATTAATAATTACCATTTATTATAACTTCTTGAGAAATATCGACAGTTATATATGGATCTGTAACATCGTCCATAGAAATAATTAAAAAAAGCTGAAACGGCATATTGTCAATGGTATAGGGACTAGAATAAAGGAGACCATCTGTAATTTAATGATCGACATTTATTATTACACTAAAATTTACGAATTCGTTATATTTATATGTAGAATATTATTATTTTTTGAATAATTGGAAGTCATCGAATTGTTTTTTTAATTTTGTGGACACATATAAATCGAACTACATATTAAATGATTACTTTTTTATATTTTAAAAGCCCTAATTTTGGTATTATAAAATATTTACACTTTCCCATAAAGATGGGAACATTCACAGCACACCACGTCTAATAGTAAATTAATCATTCTATTAGGTTCGTTTAAAATAAATCGATCATATAATTTGTATTTCTTATAGTAAATGAGCAGATAGTTGAGTAAATCAGTGATACTGTGATCATTTCTTTTCTTTTTTCGATATTTTACATTTTTTTCCTTTTTATTAACCTAAACACCTTTTTTTAGTAAGAATCCGTTAAAAATATGATGATGAAGGGAATCTAAAAAATATTTTAATTACTGGTTAAATAATAAATTGGTACTATAATTCACCAAATCGAAACTCAGGGAAGTGGGAATTACTAAGCATTGCACAAATAATGTTTGATGTAGGGAAATTTAACTGATTTTAAAATTCTTTTATCTTTTATAGCGACAAACAGTTTAAAATGGAATTAAAAAAAAAACCTGTGATCAAATTTTTGCACGGAATATTTCTTAGAATAGATTAAAAATTACCATCGTAGTCCATTTCCCAGCCGTAATCCGACCAGATGAATGGAATCTCGTATATTCCATCCATTCCATCCACTTCCACTGTAAAAAAATACGTTTTTCTGTAATATCATGGTCAAAATTTATTAATGAATATTAAATATTAATCTACATAGGTTATTATTGTTTTATGTATTATTGTGGGTTATCGATTTGGTATTTTCCCGTTTTTATGTCATTAGCTAATCGATCAACATTAAATACACTTGTTCATAATTTTAAACGCACTTATTTAGATATTATTATGTATATACACTTTTGACAAAGAATGAACAATCACAGGAAAACACGGTTAATAGTTAACTATATCAATCTCAATTTTATGATAGTATTTTAAATTTTTTTTAGAAAATAATAAATTCAATTAATTAAATCACAAGTATTATGATTATCTCTTTTGTTATTTCGAAATTTTACATTACATTGAGTTTTATTTACCTAAACACCTATATTAAAAATATGTAATTGAGGAAATTCTGAAAAATATTGTCGTTTTATTTGCACAAGTTTTCATCGATAACAGTGACCCAGCGTTCAATGAGTGTCCATTATCTTCTGTTTTTTTCTTTTTGTTTTTTTTTGTATTGTTTTGCAGGAATATTGTATATTCGTGATCGTACGCAATCACAAGGAATCTTAGTATTTAACGTTTGTTATTTTCTGTCGGGGATATTGAAATTATTACATCCCATTTCTGCATTATACATTTTTTTTTTTTTTTGTGAGATGTAGTTAATTTTCCTCAAAAATCAGTCCCGGGGAATACATTATTAGGTCGGTCGAGTCTAGGGGTGGGTTTATGGTTATAGACATCCTTTCTCTATTAAAAACCATCCCCAAAATGCGGTTTTCCTGAATTAATTGTAATTATTATTATTATTTATTTATTTATTTGTTTTTCCCTAGTAAAATTTGAAAAAAACATTCAAAATGTCGGTAAAAACGTATTTATGGTAAATTTACTATTTAGTTGATACTGTTATTGATAGAGAGGAGGCGATACATTATCCAACTGAATTTGTAAATTCTTTAATCCCTCCACCGCATAAATTAATTCTAAAGGTATATAGGTTCTCCCATAATACAACACCGGAACTAATTACACAAGATTGCAAATCAAATATTTAAAATAAATGTCAGCTGAGGGTATGATTCTTATTAGCTGTAGAGCTAGGAAAACAGCTTTATTTTCTAAAACGCCAATGATAACTACCAATCTACCATTTCTGTTAAACAGCTCCGAATTTCCGTGAAACAATGTTTTCAATTATGTTTATCAATGATGCACAAGTTAAACATTGAAATTAAAGACAATTTCCAGGATAAAATTAGATAATGAACGGCCTAAATTAAGTGGGTAGTTGGTTAAATTGAACAGAATTACCTTATATTTTTAAATATTTAAAAAAAGAAAATTTGTTTCACACCGTTTTGGTAAGTTGTTAAAATACGTTTGTAAATCGATAGCATCTTGATTGAGTTTTAATTTTTTTTTTTAAAGGTTTGGCATTTAAAGTAAATAAAAATAATATCAGACTTTTTGATAACATTAGATAAATCATTTATAAAAATAGTAAAAATGAAAGTTTATAGACGGTTACCTCGAGGAACATGACCAACTATATCTATAAGAAATGCGATTTCACACCGCCAATAAAATAAATCATAAAACTCACGTGGTCGGTTAAACGACGAGTTGTACGAATCATCGTGAGACGTTTTCGTCTTCTTCACGGTATCTGGTGTAGAATTTTGAGACAGACCTCCTTCTTCTTTTTTTCAAATTGTTACGTTTTCATTAAAACGATAAGAATGAAATATAGGTAGTTAATTTATTTAAACGATGCAAACTCATATAATACTAATAGTTTTTGTTAGATCGGTAAAATTTGCTGACGAAAGAACGATTCTGAGCGGTGTTCGGTCGATAGCTTTGCCTCATTAAAAATATTTGAAAGTCATATTATAGTCATATAATTACATTTGTATTTTATATTTTTGGTAATAATATTTGTTGAGTATTGTATTTATTTGCCTGTTATTGCCATCTATTAGACAAACTCCTAAGAAAATTGAAAATTATCTTTCCATTCCTGGTTTTTTTTTAGAAAAGTATCTTCATTGAAAATCGGGTAAAAATTTTTGGTGGATTAGCTGTGCATACTAATAGAAAATAAATATATTAAACGCATTGTAAAACCATACGATTCTTCGCTCCACTCAGAATCTTTAATTGCCATACTACTGCCTAACTCTTTGCGATTTATTTGATTCGCGTTATTTTAATTGTAAACTGTATATACGAGAAATGTAATGTCACATTGCGAACGGAATAACTATAATAATTGTAAGAAATAAATCATAAAACTCACGTGGTCGGTTAAACGACGTGTTGTACGAATCACCGTAAGTAGTCTTCATCTTTTTCTCGTTATCCGGTGTAGAACTTGGAGTCAAACTTCTTTTTTCTTTTTTTCAAACGTTAAAATGATAGAAACGAAATATATATATTTAATTTATCTAAACTTCGCAAACTAAAATAATAATTGTAGATGTGCTGTGCTTTATTTTTGCTTTTATTATTTTTAAAACCTTAATGTACGAATGTTTTCGTATTCTGTGTTTTACACCGTGGGGGTATTTTTCCCCTACATTTGGCTCACGTTTTTGAATTGTGATATGTATTCATATAGTTACAGTTGCTCATAACGTCTTGCCCGGAAATATAAGGATATTGAGAAAAAAGACCCCGAATATACAAAACGCACGGTTTAGTTTTCGTACTTTCATTTTCGATACTGATTAAAGTTATTGATTCGCTGTATGAAAATATTATAAAACCAACAGTGCGATATAATTGTTGTCCCGACGGAATGCGATTTTTGTATTAACCGAGACGCGCTATAGTCTGCGCACGTTCTTTTAATAGTTTAAGATCAATAATAATTATGAAAATAAAAAAAAACACTTACGGCAATGATCCATAGTGTTCAGTCCAATATTGCAACTTGGAATAATCGCAATATCTATGATTCTATATCTTTAGAAAAGTTATCAAATTTGAAATTATCAAACTGTGTACTTGAACTGCAGATAATAGTACGACGATAACTTGAAAGAATCCAGTTATACAGACTGTAACTGATGCGCGTAAATCGATTTGAAATGCAAAGATGTAGGAACAATTACTTTCAACTCGTTACAATGAAAGAATACTTGACAGTCGAATATGGGTAAACAAATTGTTCGCCTTAATTACGCCTAGACGACCGAATAAATATTTATTGATATAAATATCCGGCTGATTGATCGGTATGCTATTAATTAAATTTACAAATTGTAATTTTAAAATTTATATTTAATACGATTTTTTATATATAGGTGATTGGAATATGTGTATAGGTTTTACTCGTTTTCTCATTTAAGCGCAGTCCATTTTGTTAATCCAAATTTCATGTTTTGAAGTTTATCTATCTATATTATAATACGAATGTACTGAACATCGTAGGGCTGCTGAAATAAACGCATCTATATGCTATTTTCGACAAAAATAATATAAAACTCTATAAACTGCGTACGGTATAATTATTTTTCAGATAATACCAACCTAAATATATATATATATATATATATATATATAGTTGTGCCGCGGACGTGTCAAAGTTTCGACAAACGCGCGAATAATTTTCCTTTGACACGCGTAATAGTTATAAAATAATCGTTCGCACGAAACAATTTTATTATAATATCATAATATATAGGTCTTTGTATATTTTACGCGTAATTTAATACGAAAATGCGATTTTTATGCATTAACTTGTGTGTTGGCATAGAATCAGAAGAACGTATCAACCAAATAAAACTTGTTTTGAAGAGTTAAAGAACACATTTTTTTTTTTTTAGAGGGTATTCTTATAAATTAGTTAATATGCGTAAAAAAATATAAATCAATTTTGGGTAAATACGGTTCGTCTGATTCCAAGCTAACGATAAATATATGATTGGAATACATTATCGTATTATGTTGGAGTATTAATTAACCGGATATGTGATTATAATTATAGTTACATAAAAATATACGTATACATATTTTGTGTAAACATTATTATTATATGTATTGTTTATAAAATTGTTTATTTTTAAAGATTTTATTCTTTATCAGATGTAAAATTGACAACGTCCCATACTTCATATAGTATGAAATCAACATTGTTATATTATATTAAGAAGAAAAATTATATCTATTGTCCAATAGAGTATTTGTTTAGGCAATGAAATAAGTGATGAATGATGATATAGAAACAAATATATTATTACATGATCAATTTCAAATATTTTTCAAAGCAACAAAATGCCGTAAATAATATAAAACTATTGAAAAAGTTACTTAAATATTATTATGAATATCCGTTGCAATTTACTAGCCACCGCATTAGAAGGGAATTTAGATATGAGGATATATATATACATATATATGTAGAGTAATTTAATTTATATCCAACGATAAACCATGGCTAAGGCGAGCAGAGTATTTTTAGTCGTATTAGGCCCACGTTGCCAAGGTAACCCAGAAAAAAATAAAAATTATTAGAAAAAATAACCAGTTTTTTCAAAAATACCAAGGAAAATAAAAGCTCATTTTCTAATCGTTCCAAAGACCGTTGGCAACTTTATATTAGACGCGCTTTACGACAAAAAGAATAGCCCGTGGCCTTATTATAACCTAAATACCACATGGTTACCCAATGCACCAACTAGATTAAAAATGCTACAAATAAGTTAACATAAAGTTTTTAATTGGAGTAATATGTCTGGGAAAAAAATAGTTTAACACAAACAACAAAAAATCATAATAGTAAAACCAATAGATATATTACTCGCTTCACTCAAATTCTAAAAAAATCAAACAAAATATCATTTTCAATAATTTGAATTGTTCACAATTTCAAGTTCTATGCCTATTCTGCGTAGGCATGCTCACAAGCGCACGGGTGTGGTAGCAATGTGCTAGCTACACGCTTTCCAAAAAATTTCGCTTGTTTAACATTTTTGTTTTCGTTGAAAGTTAAAATATTATTGCAAGCAAAATGTACAATATTATATAAATTTTAGATTCCAAGTGGAGCGAATTGGCTCATCCACGTGTGAAGTATGTCTGTATTTTCTATAACTTTACGTTAAACCGATAAATGATAACTTGTAATTTATTATTATCGGCCCATATACATAATGATACACATTATACACAATAATATAATATCTATAATATTTATTATATCCGTATCAACCACACCCCACATGTACCCGATGTACTTGCACATTTATCAGTTACCGTAAACGTCATTTTAATCTAATCGTTNATATGTTTTTCAATAATTCTCGACCGTCAGCACTCGTTAGCCGTTATCAATATTGGTATTATGAACGTATTTAATACATTGGTATTTATACATTATAAAAGTGAACTTTAGTTTTTAACTATTATTTTTATAGCATAAAAAAAAAACAACATAAATATGAATAAATCGTCATCAGAAAATTAACTGAAGAAATTGTTGTTTAATAAAACTCCAGGAGATACTGGAAATCTATAGGGGTCTATGTAATGTATGTATTCAGCTGAGCGTCCGTGTATCCTATAGATATTGAGTAATAATCCATTACAGAAAAAAATGAAATGGGGGCACATTAAAATTTGGTCAGTGACAAGAGGACTGAATCCACATAATGAATGTTAACATTAAAGACTATTCCTACTAAACATATTCTGCACATTAAAAAAATCCTGCGCACGCCTATGTTATTCTGTATTCTAGAATTATAATATTATTTTTTATAAAACAGTTAATACCCGATAATTAAAATAGCTCGAAATAATGCAAATATAGTACTTTTAAAATAAATATGAGCATGAAAATAGTAAGGGTCTGTATACGACTTCGGAGCTTAAAAATTACCCACTCTCATAACAACATGCTGAAATTCATAATGAAGTAAGTACAGTGGTTCTTGAAAACTGTAAACGTGTCTCAAAGCTGTGTATTTCAGCGACGTCGTTTGTCTTGTCGTGTCTATGGATAATATTCAACTGATCATTTGTCACCTAAACGAGAGAAAAGGCGAAATTATCAGCCCAACTCTGGAAAACCTCCGGTGGGTATGGAATGTCGCTGAATTTTATCAAGATTATAACGGCCAATCGGAATACGACACGATACACGACGTCACTGGAATATCGTCTAACATTTTTTCGCGCGCGTATTGAGGGGAAAAAGATACAAAAAAAAAAAACGATCAAAACAAAAAGATACATCGGGAAATCAATCATGTCCGTTATCGTTTTCCAGAACGATATTAAAATTATAATATCGTATTATTTCGGGATGTGCGCGGTAACAAAACAAAATGAAAAATAATATTAATTTTGACGGGACTGTTAGATTTATGAGGGAACGCGTCGTCGTCGTCGTCGTAGTCACGATAGTAGAAGCATTGTATAATTGCGCAGAGTGATAAAGCTGTTTAACTAAAACGACTAGGGTTGATACCCACATGGTATCAACACGGTTGCCATAGATGGAAAAATCGTTTCGGACAATAATATTATTTATATAATTCACGTCCACTTTTTTTTCTCTCCCCGCCTCGTCCCCGCAGGTATTGCACAGCGTGTTCGCTATCGTCCGTGCCACTACAGGTAGGTAGGTAATATAATATTTATACACAGCATCACAGCCATCATCGCTGCGCGTTTACTATATACGCACCCACTCACGGTGATTGATGATTCGCGCGGTTTTCGCGTAATATAATTCGCTTTTATAATAATATACAATGTATCACGAGTACCTATGTACCTATATGTATTTATTCTGCCGACAGCCGGAGCAAAGACAAGGCTTATCATGTCCGTCGCCGCTACTTATATCCGAGTAGGTCCATACGGCGGAGAGCTGCAAGAAATATATTCTACACTCGCGAGACCGACAGCGAAAACTCGATGATAATGATAATATTACCTGTTATTATATTCTTGTGTTATCAAAAACAGACGGCAGGATATAAAATATACACATGTATATAGATGAACATAACACGCACGCGGTGCCGCGACCGGATGGTAAACGCGAATTAAAAATCGTCGTACGCCACTGTTTTAGGAGGGGAGTTGAAATGGAGGATAAACTATAGAGGGATATAATTTATAAACCATTGCTAATAAAAAACTATTCTATGCAGAGTATTAAAGTACAAAAATAACTTCCTCGGTGTAACGATTAGAACAAAAATGCTACAAGAGAGAGTTGCTGTAAAGTTATTGTTTCGAGTAAGATTTGTGGAGAAGAGTTATTTACAGACGCGAACAAAATACACATCATAGTAATACCGTACACCGTTTTTTTTATGGGTTCTGTTAGAAA